CCAGCATGTGGGTGCTGGAAACTGAACCCTGGTCCCCTGGAAGAATAGTAAGTGATTTTAACCTCTGAGCCATCCTTCTCTCTCCAGCCATGTTTAACGTGTACAATTCTCCAAATGCAGAGTCAAGAACATTGGCTGGGAGACTCTTCAAGCAAGAACACAGATGGCCTATTTCTGTTCTCCTCTGTCCTTCTGGTCAATACTTTAAACTTTTGTCACGTATTTTGTGTACATGGATGTTCCCCTAATGTGTGTGTATACCAAATGCATTTCTGGTTCCTGTGGAGGCCAGGAGAGGGTGTCAGATGCTCTGAAACTGAAGCTATAGAGGTTTGTGAGCACCCAAGTGGATGCCAGGAGCAAAACCTGGGTCCTCTGCAAGAGCAGCACATGCTCAGGACTCCTTAGCCATCTCCCTAGCTCCACAGTTGATACTTTTGAGGTACATTCTATGCCATTGCTCAGAATTGCCCTAGGAGGACTGAGCATGGTGTGATTGGACTGCATAACACACTGTTTATTTCATCCTGCCCAACCCTCCATTTCAGGGCCTGAGGATGGAATGGTGCAAAGGAGTTTTCCTATAGGCACACATAAGCTCAACCTCAGGGAACCTTGTGCTACCCATGGCTACATATCCCTACTCCTTTCCCAACAACTTTTCATATCACTCCCAAGATCAGATTCTGGTATAAAAATAAATCTTGGCCTAAAGTGAACAAAAGCATGTAAGTTAAAAAAGGAAAGGATAAAATAAATAAATAAAATAAAATAAAAAGGAAAGAATATTCTGCCTGCTAAACCATTCCTATGACCAAATATTTGTAAATCTAAATTTTGACACTCTTACTGAATATTTTAGAGCCCTAATAACCCTTTCCAGTTCCAAGCAGTGGTCAATTTTAATTGATTTTTCATTTTTCTTTGGAATCCATGGTTCTTGTAGCTGTTGCTATAAATTTCATGAGGACTTACTGATTCTGGGAAATGCTTCTTAATACAGCATGTGGTGAGGCTTCGTTAGGAACACTGGGTTGGTAAAATGCCACTGATAACATTTAAGAACAGTGCAATGAGAAAGTAGGAGTTCCACAAAGAACCATGCAAGTGAAATATGGGATGTGATGAATGAGACAGGTTGTGGTGATATATTGTGTTCCCAAATATATTGTGCATCCTAATAAACTTAACTGGGGTCAGAGGACAGAACAGTCACTGGATAGACATAGAGGCCAGAAAATGGTGGCACATAGGCCTTTAATTCTATCACTTGGGAAGCAGAGATCCAATCGGATCTCTGTGAGTTCAAAGCCACACTGGAAACAGCCAGGCATGGTGACTCATGCCTTTAATCCCAGGAAGTAATGGCAGAAAGCAGAAAGGTATATAAAGTGTGAAAAACAGGAACTAGAGTCTTTTTAAGCTTTTAGGCTTTTGAGCAGCAGTTCAGCTGAGATCTATTTGGATGAGGACTCAGAGGCTTCCAGTCTGAGGAAACAGGATCAGCTGAGAAATTGGCAAGGTGAGGTGGCTGTGGCTTGTTCTGCTTCTCTGATCTTCCAGCATTCACCCCAATACCCAGATACAGGTTTGTCTTTATTAATAAGACCTTCTAACAATTTGTGCTACAACAGGTAAAACATTTTAACATGTTGGGGTGGCAGGAGGAACCACGGCTGGGCAGAAGTGCATGTTCTACACTGCTCTTCTTCAGTTGAATAGTGAAGGATGATCTTCTGGGACCATGCTGAGATTAGCAAAGGAGATGGACATTGATTTTTATTTTCTACAATAACAACAATGCTTGAGTTTTGCTGGCTAAGACATTTTGAAGAAACAGTTTTCAATGTCCTGAGATTTTGATAGTTTCAGGTATGTTAAGCTCCAAAGTCTTTTCACAAAATGTGATACAATATCATTAAGTAAAATATTTATTCTCTTTAAGGCTGATATTTCAGAGTTATGCTTTCTATTTTTCCTGAGGCTGTGATGTCCTAAAATACACAGCTTTGGAGAATTATGACACTCCCCATTACCTCGTGGGTATTTCTGGGTTTTGTTTGTTTGTTTTTAAATGATAATTTTATTGTCAATTCTCATGTGGATGGCAGTTTTCTAGGATGACCTAGAAAAAGCTAACCATGAAAATAATGATGACATAATTCATACCATCTCTAATTAGCTTTCCAGGTGCTACAGATGTTCTATTTCTCTTAACTGCCTGCTCACATATTATTTGTCTCACACAAAGAGGATGCTTGTCAGCTTCAAACACTTGAAGCAAAAATTTTTGAGTCTCTTTTAAAAACCTAGTATCAGGCTCTATTAACTTCGCCTCTGCTTTACTGGATCCATTTTGGTTGGTGGAGGCTGATCTCAAATTCCTGATCCTTCTGCCAGAGCCTCCCAACTGTTGGGATTTTAGGCTTGTGCCATCATGTTTGGCTTTTATCAATAGTTATTTATTTCTCTATCTATTGCTTTGTTTTCTGATACTGTGATGTGAGGTGGCCGTGCTGACTCTAGAGGGACTGTGGCTGACAGAGTTTCCTCATTTGTATTTGTACTAAGGAAGTATGTTGTGAATAGTCCTTTCACATGTCAATCAGCCCTCCCAGAACCTCCACTTTCATTGCCTGTCTGCAATCTCCTCAGGGCCTGGTATCACACACCTACAAATGCCAATGCCATTTTCTACATACCTGCAGATTACAGAGAAAAAACAAAAAAATATAAGAAAAAAACTGAAAAGAACAGATGATAGGCTTTTAGTCAAGTAACCACATGAACAGATTAGAGAACACATTTTGCCTCTTTCTGTTCTAAACTATTGGCAAATCTATTTTTATTTTTGCATTATTTTGTTAACTTCAAATCATAAAAGCATAAAGATAACTGGTGGGGTTGACTTAAGAACATGTCTCACAACTTTGTAATTCTGTGGTGATATTGTGTTCCCCAAAATATTGTGCATCCTAATAAACTTATTTAGGGTCAGAGAACAGAACAGCCACTAGATACCAGAAAATGGTGGCACACACACCTTTAATCCTAGTATTCCAGAGGCAGAAATCCGCCTGGATCTCTGTGAGTTCAGGGTCCCACGGGAAACAGCCAGGCATGGTAACAAGAGCCTTTAATACCAGGAAGTGATGGCAGAAAGGTATATAAGGTATGAGGATCAGGAACTAGCTGGTTAAGCTTTCAGGCTTTCAAGAAGCAGTTCAGCTGAGATCTATTTGGATGAGGACTCAGAGGTTCCAGTCTGAGGAAACAGGATCAGCTGAGGAATTGGGGAAGTGAGGAAGCTGTGGTTTGTTCTACTTCTCTGATCTTTCAGTGTTCACCCCAATACCTGGCTCAGGTTTGATTTATTAAAAAGACCTGTTAAGATTCTTGCTACATAATTCTTTTCTTTCTTTTCTTTTTTTTTTTTTTTTTTTTTTTTGTTTTGGTTTTGGTTTTTTCGAGACAGGGTTTCTCTGTGTAGCTTTGCGCCTTTTCCTGGAACTCACTTGGTAGCCCAGGCTGGCCTTGAACTCACAGAAATCCGCCTGGCTCTGCCTCCCAAGTACTGGGATTAAAGGCGTGCGCCACCACCGCCCAGCTAAGATTCTTGCTACATAATTCTTACACCCCTCCCAGAGTTTCAGGCCCTTCTCTAGAACAGAATGACACAAAGACAGAGCTGTCGCTTTCAGATTGGGTTTGTAAAGGGACAGAGGCTATGAATGTGTAAGGGGACACAGGGATGGGCTACTTACCGGGCTGGGAAGTGATAGAATCTTACTTTGCATTCTCATTTCACATGGATGCCACTTCTACTGAGTGATAAAATACTGTATTTTCTTTGACTTGCAAGATACTGTTTGAGTAAATAAATACTGTTAGAAGACTTTTATGATGCTGTTTTGGAAGACATGTTTGCTCTGTGGATTGAGTTTCCTCAATTTTAGGGTCTCTGTTTCTTGAGAAAATTTAAGAAATAAGATACTTGAATTGGGAACAAGAGTACTGAGCAAGGACCATGCTTCAAATGACTTAGTCAATGCTTTATTATTTTCATGGAAAGCAAAGTATCTTAAAAACTTGAGGAGGTCTAGGACATTTTTACCCTTTAAATCTCTTAGTATTTTTTTAAAGAGTGAAGAAATGGGTAAAGCGGATCAAATGCTTGGTACATTTTCCATGCTCACTTTCAAGGATGGATGTGGTCTGACCCCTCTCTATCTCAGCTTCCTACTGCAGTTAAGTATATAAACTTGGAGGGAGATCACATTAGAAATCCTAGTATGAGACTCATGGGAGGATCGAAGTCTGTCCCCATCAGACTCTGACCCTCCCCGTGTTCATCAATAAAGAACACCAACTAGAAGGTGGCGTCTCTCATGAGTTGAGCTGTGATCTCAGTACACCATTCTGAGAAGGAGATATCCATTATTTAGTTCTGTATTTGTTATGATGAAATAAATATTACCCCCTTTTTACAAAGCAATAAATAAATCTAAAACTGAAATAAGGAGAGAAACCATTCCTGTGAGGAAAGCCAAAAGCAATCAAATTCTCTAGAAAACCCCGAGGGTTTTTCTTTCACAAATAAACTATAAATATTCATGGGGGCAAGAAGAAGGGTCAAGGCATTGTGGGAAGGAAAAGATGACTGCATTGCATTTCCATTCGCTTTTAGAAAATGCATGTCTGTTATATCTCCAGCTAGGGTATGCATGTGGGAAATGACTACTGGCTGCAAAGATAAGTGAACAAAACACAATGCAGTGGAAATGTCATTAGGTTATGTATTCAGAAAGAAAAAACCCATGTTGTAGCAGGTAGTTTAAGTGATATTTTACATGTAGTGTACGGTGAGGAATTCTTTATTTCTTCTGGTCATCTATCACAGGAAATTTGCATTAGTCACCATGGCAGATAAGATCAATAGGGTGACTCAAGCTTTTCTAACATTAAATGATTCTGTTTCTCTAACTACTTTTTTGAAATAGAAGCTTGCTCATCTGTATCTATGTGCTCAATAAGGTGGGGTGGCGAGTGACTTGTGGAACTGGCTCCCTTCCATCAGCTCTTATGGTAAGTTCTAATTAATGCATAATAGAACATTACCCTCTTCATTAAGACATCACCTTGATCACCGACAGTGTCTCATCAGTTAAAACTCAGAGTATATCTAACAAGACTGAGAGTCATGATTATCTTTATTGCAACCCAACTAAAGACAAAAGAATTGGGTTGGTAATGTTCACATGATAAGATTCCAAGTAAAATACTCAAGTATTTAACTTCAAATGGCTTTCTTTAAGTTAAACTTAAAAAACTTAATCCGAGGACATAGCAGGTGCTGCAGAATACTAAACAGTGAGTGGGCAGCCTGGCCAACATGTGGTGCTCGTGGGAGGGGACAAGGGTATTAGACAATCACAACACAGGATTGTTCCAGTGGTATGAAAAGAAAACACTATGAACTCACTGTGTGGGGGTTAATTTTACCACTGGTAGTCTAGCAGACTTTCACTGTGGAAGGCCACCTGAGAAGGAAGGACACAAGACTGAATTTTGTTCTTAGACTGGAGTAAAGGAAGGAGGGAGGCGGTGAACAAACAGCACAGCCATGACAAAGGCAGGAAGGATGTGAGACTTGGAAAGAAGATGGCGGTCATCCTTTGTCCTTCAGTGTCCAGTTACTGATAGACTGCGTGGCATCTATTCGGTTCACTTATGATGTATTTCCAAATAGAAAAAAAATAAATAAATCAATTTGTATTTCAGTTTCCTGGCTTCTCTCTGAACGAGTAACCTGCCCTTCATTTTCTCATTGCAGAGGCAACAAACAGATTTGCGTCAACCCCTGACCTGCTGGATACCAGGCATGTCCTAACTGCTGAACAGTGAGACGCCAGTCAGTCCTGACCTTCCACTAGGTAAAATATCTAGTAAACAGATTACTTTCCAAATATAAGTAAATACTTTAAATTTTTAATTAAAATATGATTACATCACTCCTCTCCTATTCTCCCCCAAACCCTTCCCACGTCCCAATTATTCTTTAATCATTGTTGTTACATATATGTGTATAAGACTGTTATATACAAATAAGTATATAATTTCAGCCCACTGAGTCCATTTAGTGTTACCTGTATGTTCATTTTTAGGGTCAGCTACTTGAATTTGGATAAACATTTAGGGGCTCCTCTCTGAGGAAGACTAACTCTCCTCTCAGCAGTGTTTAACTGGCAATAGCTCTTCAACTAGATGTACCCCTTCCATGCTTTTTTCTTTTAACTAAAAAGCATGGTATACTTTTCGAACTAACAGAAATTCAGAGTGATGTCAGTGGGAAACCTAAAACAGTTGGTCACCACATAGTAGGCACACATGTATACTCAGAGGTGTTCCTGCTGAGCTGTGCTGAGTCACGTGCTCCTTTCTCTTTCTGTGTTACCTTGTCCTGACCTCTTGTTACCTGTGTCTCCCTATAGACTGAACCACCTGTACTTCCAGATCAACGTTTCTGGGTCATATCTCCAAGTCCTTTTCCTTCAGTCTATGCACCGTCATAGCATCTTCTGTACTCTATCTATAGCTGTCCCATTCATGATTGTATGTCATTTGTGTTTATATAAAACATATTAATGCATTTTCTTTTGCTATCATGAAATATCTGAAGCTGATCATTTCAGAAGTTTATTTAGCTCACAATTTTGGAGGCAAAGCGCCAAAGATTGAGTAGTCTCCTCTCTCTGCCTTCCTGGAAAAGTTCCCTTTACCTTTATTATGATGTTGTTTGTTGAGAAGGCCAAAAGGAACCCAGCTTGCACACAGGGGGCCAAGTATGTGGGCTGATCTCGCTCTATAGCAATGCATTTTCACAGGCACCCAGTGGCACTTACATCATCCCTCCCAGGGCAGTGCTCCTGATGACTGTTATTTAGGTCCAGGCACCCCCACTACTCCTTTTTCTCCTTAGTAATAAGGAAATAAACAGGGCACTTGCATTTCACTCACTGTGGGTGAGAGTATTGTGAAAAACAATGACACCATCTATGTTAAGGAGCCTTCTTGACCTTCACACACTTGGAGGCAGAAATCCCACTTTGGGGAATTCATTCTAAAGCAATTCTTCCTACTGTATTATAAAAGGTTTATACTCAAGATTACACATTACAGCATCATTTGTAATCAGGGAAAATGGGAAACAACCTACGTAATAATAGAAAGATAATTGTGTTTTGGAACACACTCAAAATTAAATTTTGTACAGCTGTAAAGCAGTACATAAGCAAACTGATTGTGATGTTGCTGGAGGCTCTTACTTAATTTATTAAGAACCACATACAAGAGGCCTAAGGCCATGGAACTTTCCAGGCACCTGCACAAGGGTTTAGAGCTTGACTCCTAACTATAAAATCAAATTGAAAATGCTGAAGAGAATGAAAAAATTGCAATACACCAAGTTTACTGCTTATCACTATTTGATTTCAATGCAGTGGGCAGAGTTCTGCTTAGAGTACGTGTTTGTAAGAAGTTCTGTGTTGTGTGATATTTTGATTGTGTTCTAACAAATAAAGCTTGCTCGGAGTAAGAGAGCAGAGATAGCCACTAGCTGACCAAAATTAACCATAGAGGTTTGGGAGGACTGTAGACAGATAGGAGACAGGAAGTAGTAGGGTGGGGCCTTTTTGTAAGAAGGAACGAAAGAGGTAGGAAGTCACTAGTGGCTGCTCCCCTGCTTCTCTGAGTCCAAGCAAGCTTTGTTTGTCAGAACACAGTCAAAATATTACACATTTCTGAGCCTGTGTAATCTTCCTTAGTAACACAACTGATGATAAGTTACAAGAGCAAAGCTTATTCAGAATAGAATGTGGATACATGTCAAAATAGACATTTAAGGTTTGTGTGAAGATTAAAAAACTAGAGATCTGAGGGCTTCTCATGGTCTGAAAACTGTTTCTAAGAAATGGCAAGTTTTGAGCGCCTACTGTATAGTACACACTTAATATGCACCAATTCTCTAAATATCAGGACCTTGCTGGGATATAGTTATTCTTTACCTTCAATTTTCATTTCACGAAAGCTGAACTTCAGGAAACTGAAGAAACATCCACTCTCACCCCATTCATGAAGCTAGGGAAGGAGCTGAGGGTCTTGGAGGCAGGATTGACTCCAAATCCTATGCTTTTACTAAGAACTTCACTGTGATATACTGAGTTTTTTTTTTAATTTGTAAAATTAATTATATACCTGATTCCATTATAATTTTAGAAAATGCAGAATCCAGTGAAAGACCCACCTCCTACCTCTCAGTACCACCACCACTCCGGGAATCCAGCTTCCAGCACAGGAATCCCACATGGATACACTCAAGTCAAATTATAACTAAAACATAAAGATATTTATAGTCTCATTTCCAACTAAAACCATAAGGTTAAAAGCGAAAGTGATAAATATGGTTATAGATGGAGAATTCAGACAGTTCAGAAAGGAATAGAATCCCCTTCAAGTGTCCACCCTCAGGGTGTGAGTAAGTGCTGTTAGTAATTTCTTGTGACTGGAGTCATTATTATGGATTTTCCATTTCGATACAATCCTTGATATCATCAATAGTTTCAAACCTACTCACACTTTAAGAAATGCTTGTTGTAGGTGGTTTTAAGTTCCTTTGTGTTTTTGGTTATTCTTTACTTCCAAATATTGATAATATGTTTTTCCAGACAATGAAATTTTATTTACTGCACAAGTGCAAACTAAAGGTATGATATAAAATTACTTTCAGGTATACAAGTGAGGTATATACAACATAAATTAATTTGCTATTTAGAGTTGAAATCTATCTCCAAGATATATAATTATGTATATGTAAATAGAACAAACTCTGAAAACCAAAAAATGTCCAGTCCCAAGCATTTCAGGTTAAGTTTCCCAACTGGCATTTGGAATCATGAACCTAAGACTCCCTGCCTCCTGAAGCTCATTCATCTTAAGTTTTCTCAGGCCCTCCAGAATTATTTCATCAGTAAGAAGACTATTTGGTCATTTTTAAAAATACAGACCGTGGTTTCTTTGAGCTCTGATGGGAGGGATTTGATGGAGACATTTCATTTATGGCTGAGTGTTCCAAGGACTCTCTGTACAATGTTTTGCTGTGGGTCTCCATGTTTGTTCCCGTTCCTATAGGAGGAAGCTTCTCCAGTGATGGGGGGACAAGGCGCTGATTTTTAACTATAGCAAAATGTCACTGGGAGTCATTTTATCACATTTTTTTTTCTTTTCTTAGACCAATGTTATTTGGTTTTACCCTAGGTCCCTGGGCTATCTAGTCAAAGGTTCTTGGTCACCCAAGAATTGGGTTTTTTTTGAGAAAGAATTTTTTTTTTTGAGAAAGGGGGAGCAGATCTGGAAAGATTTGGGGAAAATGTGATAAAATATATTTGGATTTGAAGTTGATTTAAGTAGTGAAAAATATAATGATAAATAATAAACCTTATCTTTATCTCTCAAAAAAGGATAGACTGAAGTCTGCACCCCTTCTTTTGGAGGTTCTTAGGGTGCTCTGTTCTGTGACCAAAGCAAGCACTTCTGCATTGAAACCTTGGTGCCTTCTGCACACTGAGACGATTGCAAATTAATGTACAGCAATCTATAAGCTCTAGAAGTCTATATTTTCACACTAAAACATTTTTGGAGAAACTGTATATTTGTTTAATTCATACTTTATATAACACTAGTGTAACTTAAGAAATGTAGAATTTATAGAGCTGTGGATAGTTTTTATTGTAGTCATGTCCATTTTCAGGAATTGTTCATTTTCTTTTTATGAGCCATTGATATGTCTGCAATTTGTGAGCATATAAACACAATAACTGTTCCATAAGACCTGTGTCTATCATTTCCCCCACCATACTGCAAACATGTCCCAGGCAAATAAGTCAAGCTCCAAAGCATATGTTCTCTAGGGATGAAAGGTGTTTTCCAATGTATGTGTTTAAATTCACCAGGCCTGCCTCAGAGACATGAATCTCATTTGCAAAGAAATCTGCAATTTGCTCCTTTTGAACTTGCTGGGATGAACAATTACATGAAATCACAGTAGGTCATAAAGATGTTCTGCAGGGAAATTGCTAGATATCAAAACTCAAGCTAAAACATTTCCAGATAATATATTTGTTATTCTTTTTCTCATTCAGCAAACCATTCACACATAAACTGGAGCAGAGAATGTTACCTGTTCTTATTTTATCAGCCCAATTTGAGTCAGTCTTAGTAGGCCCTGAGGTGTTTATTGAGATCCTTGATTACGTGATTTGTTAGATTATCTCCTTTGTGGTTAATATCTGTTAACTGGGATTATAAAAAAAATGAAGTTTTGAAAATTATGGCAGCTAAAAATTTTTGAACTTGAATTTAAATAATAAAAATTGACACATTTATTATAATCGATTTCACTTGTTAGTCTCAAGGGACAGTTATTTAATTTAGAAATATTACTTGCCATGTATCCATAAAGGAAAAAAATGTTCTACTCCTAATGGCACCTGTTAGACTATTAGAGACAAATTGAAGTAAGAAGAAAAACACAGTGGTAGACAAATAGAACCTTGGAGACTAGAGTCTAGAAAATTTACAAATTAATTTACCTGTTTTCTGATTAATGCTTTTATATATTATTTCATTTAATCATCACAACATCTTAACTAGCCCACTTAGACATGTTTCACTAAATATATTTTTTTACCTGTGAGTTTACAGAAGTTACCCAAGTTCAGAAATAATCAGTGGTGGACCTGGGATATTTCCTTCCCTAAAACCTTATTCTGTCCACCAAGACACTCATGTCCTCCCAGGACACTTGCACAAAATCTTTGGTGACATAGGTAGAGGAAAGAACTGACAGGCAACACAATCAATGAAACAATCTCTGTCC